AAAGCTTGAAATGTCTACGTTTAAACAACATCGAAAAACAATTCAAAATGAAAAGAAACAGATAACTCTCTCTTATAGCCTAATCCGTATAAAGTGCATTAGCCTACTCCATAGGCGCGTTCACAATACTGCGAAGTGGCGAGTCAGCATCGTCAACTTCATCTTTTCAGTCAAGAATGACACAGAAAACACTAGTTTATTAATAAACAATTAAAATGTCTATATTTGACACATTCGTTACTTTTGCCAGTTCTTTGTGGCAAGCTTTCTGAGTCCGCCAACTAATCGAATATCGTGACTCCCTATTTTGTACCAGGCAATTTATGGTTGTTCAATAAAGGTAAAAAAGAACAAAAGAAAAGAAGCAACTGTGCCTAATATTATTGTATAGCCTAGTATTTATTTTACTGTCTATATAGTAGCCTACAGCGCGTAAGGTGTATTTCTATGGCAGAATTACAGCGCCACATACTGGTCTGGGATGTATACTACATCGTTTTGAGTCGGTTTCCGCCGCCGTGTTTACGGACTTTTTTTTTTGAACGAGGGAAAAAAAACATCGGATAGGGTAAGCTCTGGCTTCGTGTGGATGTGGCCTTAATCTATTGTACTTTTACCTGTTTTAGTGGTTGTTGCAAGCAGGACGAGGCCGAAAGCCGTGAGAACAGGCGATGCTGGTGGCGTGATTGATAATGAGCATCAGCTGCAAACCGCACTGTGTCTCACGGAGGAGTTTATCTATTAACAACTTTAATTATAAAATAAACAAACACAAAATTAAAGTAAAAAGGGGAAGCCCTTCACAGAAAGACTGCTGCACACAAATAAACAAAACATAAAATAAATAGTCCAGGCCTGGTCCTCTCTCGTGCTTCACTGTTGTCTCTCCTCCTTCTATGGTACTGTAACTCCTGAGTGTGACTCCAGGCCGGTGGGGTGCACAGGTGACGCTCATAAACAATCATGGCAACGGCCTCGTCCCGTTCTCTCATGGCCCTCGCCTAGTCCTTCTTGCCACAGTTATATTAATAGATTATGAAAAAACATTTGATTGAACATTTGATATAATTGTATCATATATTTTTTCAACTATTTTAAAATTATATACTTTGTATAAAAACACTTGTATTTAATTATTTTAAATTATATTATTTCTACGATAACAAATGTAGACATGGTTTTATGATTACATAGTGTTCTCTCACCCCGTAGCATGGCGTGCGACATGTAAAAAGACGGTATCAGTCATTGTATGCAGTCATGTGTGACGATCACAAAAGTATTGAAATTGTATTCAAAATTATTGGTTTTATTTTGAATATTGTGTTATTTTGGAAAAAGAAACATTCAGAAGGGTTTTATTCTAATGTGATTCCTTTAAAAGAAAAAGAGAGAAGTGTGCAAGGCTACTCCTGACCGTTAGGGGCAGAGTCGAGCGATGGGTGTTAAGCTGTGTGAGTCGTGAGTTTTTCATTACTTCAGAGAGCTTGAACTTGACACACTGTGTAGCTGTGTCCGAAACCGGTCACTCGTTCACTCATTCACTAATCCCTATATAGTGAATGGCAGTTGAGTGCACTATATCTGCAAGGAGTGAACGAAATGAAGTGGGTGAATTCGGACACTGACGTTTACACTGTGCGTCAGAGAGCTGGAGCTGTCGCAGAAAAGCCTTCGTCACACGTACTGATAAAACTCCTTTTTATCTTATGTTACTTACTTAATAAAATAATATTAACAACAATAACAATCATAATGACTTTATTTTATATACCTCAGTGCCAGCTTTGTAGTTTCATCGACTGAAATTGTAACTCTCACGCTCACAGATGACGTGGTCGTCGAGCGTCCTCAGGCGACCGTTATTATATTCGAATCAATACGCTTTCCTACAGATGATTAACGGATATTTTTAAATCATCCACCAAATGATCATCTCTCCCTTTACAGTTTAACGAGTTAACAACAATGCCACAAATGATCAAAACACCTGGCTGTTAGTAAAACATTAAATTGTGTTAATGCCTAAATAATATATTTTTATAAAACAATTGTAGGCTATACAGGTCTATATAATTTACCTTATAAATATAATTTCATTTAATTTTAAAATTCATCCATATAATATTGTCTCAATGGTTTAATATGTTATATTCAAGTAATGATTAATAAAAAATAGTTTTTTAAATGGGCTCAGTTCTCTCCGCATTGGATTGTGGGAAATAGTGCTTCAGCAAGTGTACATCGAATGTACACTCGAATTCAGAGAGGATTGTGGGTAAAAGTAGTGAATGAATGTAGGGAATGATGTTGTTCACTCAGAATTCGGACACCACTACAAAATGGCTGACACCCGATATAGTGCACTATATAGTGGATAGGGAGCGGTTTCAGACACAGCTACTGTCTCCTCGTTTTCTCTCCTGTGTTACAGGTGGGTAAATGTATAAAAACACTTTAAAGTTGAATGTAACCATGCTGAAATGTGTTTAGAGAATAAGTGAATTGTTTTAGAGAAGTGATGCTCGTCAGAGGTTGTTTTTGAGTTTGATTTAAGCAAGAGAGAAAAGCTCGACCGATAGCGGCCTACTGAAAACGCACATGTAACGTTTGCGAGCGCGTCAGTTAAAAATATACATTTTTCCATATACAAATGCATGATGATATGGGAGGAAAAACGATGTATAAAATGTTTGTAAAAATTGTAAATAAAGGCAAACTAAGTGGGCGGACTGACACTCCTTGGAGAGCTCATCTAGGGCTTGACAATGAAGTCAGACCGGTGTGGAGAGCTCAGGGCCGGCCCGAGGCATAAGCGAACTAAGCGGCTGCTTGGGGCCCCCTCAATCGAGTTTTTTTTAAAAAAATCTTTTTTTTAGATGACTTAAACAAGTGACATAAATGAATGAATGAATATGACTGACTGAATGAATTATTCAAGACAAGAAAATTCTGATTTCATGATCAATATACCTACAACTGCTGCTGTGTCTGCCAGCGTTTAAATCATGCGCATAATCTAGACACCTCGCGCGTGCATAGACAATTCGTGCGCAACTGCGCATAGTCACGGTATTGGTTTAAGTTGGAGAAAACAGCCGCAGGGGAACTTAACCTTCTGCGTTTAAGGGTAGCAGTTTGAATAAATAATAAACATAGCAGTCTGAACTCTTCTCCACTTTATTATACCACATATCAGATCACTTACTCCAAAAACCCGCGACACTCCAGTACCAAGTGCGCGCGACCCATTCCTATCTACGGCATGCCCCGAGGGGAAAAATACATTGCATACACACATACAACGAGCGCCAGTACAACCGGTATTATAGTAACAGACTTTGTTGTTATTATAATAATAATAAAAAAGATTGAGGACAGTTACACTGTAGTGAGACAGTATAGACAGTATTGAAAAAGAATAATATTTGTACAGTGTTCAACAATAATTGTCATTGTTGAACCCTTGCTCTTTTTATGTTTCTGATTTCTCAGTTTTGTCATTATTTTAGCAAATAATTTATTTTATATATTTTGAGACAGTTTGTTTTAAGAAGTTTCAAAGAGTTAGTAAAAGAGTAAAGTAAAAGTTAAAACTTTTTTATTTAATTAGGCATTTATTTTTTATTAAGTATTTATTTTGTATTAATACATAACCTCACTGTATTAATTTATAATGTATCATTATTGCGTAACATTTGTTTCAATAATCGTCAAGCACAGGTGACTCCGCATAGTGGGAGGGGGCCCCCAAATCAAATTCTGCTTAGGGCCCCTAAAAGGCTCGGGCCGGCTCTGGGAGAGCTATATACAAACCACCATTGACCAAAAGGGTAGGGGACCTACAGTGGAGAATCCTACACGGTATTGTGGCTGTCAATGCTTTTATTTCCGTTATTAATCCTAATGTAAGTGAGGATTGCCCTTTTTGTTTGCAGAGGGAAACAGTTTATCATTGTTTTCTGGATTGTAGTAGATTGTGCTATTTTTTTCAGATGTTACAACAAATGTTTATGTCGTTTGGAGAGAATTTTTCTAAGAGTTTATTTATTATTGGTTTTAGTTACAGTCAGAAATGGAGAGTTAAATGTCAACTGTACCTCAGTTGACATCTAACATCTACCTCAGCAGAAGAAATAAGATTGACGAGTGCTTAGATTTCGATATAAACACCGTTTTTGTTAGAATGGTGAAAGTTAGATTGAAAGTTGATTTTGATTTTTACAGTACTACAAATAATGTAGAGGAGTTCATAAACATTTGGTGTTTAAAGAATGTTTTATGTTCTGTTGTGGACAATGGTTTGTGTTTTGGGACTCTTTTGAGTTAAGAATCAAAAACATGCTAAATTACTTAGTTTTTCCTGTGTTTTGGAAATAGAGTTTTTTTGTGTTGTAGAGAACTCCGTTATGAGAAAATAAAGAAGTTTTGAAATCTCAAAAAAAAAAAAAAAAAATCTCACGTCATATTTTTATGGTTATACCTGGCCATACATTTGCACTTCATAGGGCAGATCAGAGTTAAACGCTTCTCTTTTAGTGGAAATAAAAAATACATTATCATGTGAAATATTGTAAGTATTTGTGGGTTCTATTAATTATATTTTCAAAATGCTCCTCCTCTCATGAACACTGAGTGAAGAAAAGAAACTACATGTTTGTAATGACGTGAAGTTGAGATGAACAAGATTTCAGTTCATATAATAGTGTAAAAATACATTCTGTATATTACAAAATGTTTTAAAATTACATTCATTTAGACAGTCAGTATAGTTGTAAAATCAAGAAATCAATGTCATTCACACTTTATACTGTGTTTTTTATGTTAATTTTATGTTTATTGTTTCAGCATATAACATGTTTAGTAAAGTGAATTAAATGTGTTCACATTTTCATATAAACACACTGACACTGGCACTGAGGGTTTGAATATTGAGTTTAATATTGAGAAATGAAACAGTTTTCAATAGTTCCTCTACTTTGCAGCTCATTTTGTGTCTGTTATTATATTATATCAGACAGACTATTTTCCACATGCGGTTGGAAGTTTTCCGAAGGGTTCCAGAGGGTGACTCTTGGATTTAGGGTACTGGACTCCTTTCACAGTTAGACATTTGTCAATGTCTTCATTCACTACACACACCACCATATGAACGTACTCATCTATTCCGACCTTCACCTGGGAGAGAGAGAGAGAGAGAGAGAGAGAGAGAGAGAGAGAGAGAGAGAGAGAGAGAGAGAGAGAGAGACTTGAATTTTAAGTTATCTCTTCCATGTAAAAGCCTGTTCACATAAACACATTCATTTTCCATGACAGCAATCATATTTCTACGAGTTCTGCTACAGTGAGCATTGCGTGTCCAGCAACGCTACAAAGTTGAGAAGTTTTCTCTTATACAAATGCAGAGAAACTTTGTACTTGATTCACTTAACCTTTTCAGAGAGGACTGAAAAATTACTGGACACATCACATCCGTTTAGGACACACTGTCACAGTTGGCTTGTTGATACAGGAAACATACAAATTGTGCCAGAAGTATTCCATAAAAAAATCCATAAAACCCCCCAAAAATACTAATTTACCTTGACCAGATAGTGTCCACCACACTTTGGCTCAGACCTAAAGGTTTTAGGAATGAAAACATCAAAATGGACTCCAGTCTTCTTCTCTATGTCTGCCTTCATCTGAATAAACAAATGCACATTTCATATTCATCTATATTATTACTTTAAAAAGATTTCGTTTATTGGTGTACTGAGGTAAGTCTGTCATTCAGATATCAGAAAACTCATGTGAAATGTTTTGTGACTTTAATGGAAAAGTAAAACAGTTCTTTAAAAAATAACAAATAATTTCGCCAACACATTTTACAGCATCAAACTAGATCATTTTACTAGGCTGTGTTTGAAACAAACACAAAAACTGCATTTACTACAAGAGTGATTTTTAGTCTCCTACCTTAATGCACATGTTCTCCACCTCGTCAGTGGCAAACGCCTCTGTGCTCCATCCTTCAGCGATTTCTGCAGTCATTGTGCTGGTGATCAAAGCTGGATAATAAACAGTATTATCAGGCAGTCTGTCTCTCAGATTGATTCTGATCCTCTATTTATACTGCCAAAATCTCATGATGTCAGTCGTTATTGTACTTCCATGTAATTCCATAAAAGAGACTGAATGAATGAGGAGTGTCACTCTGGGGGTGTTGTGTAATATTCAGAAAAACTGTTCTTTCTTCTGTGGAACAGAAAAGAAGATATTCTGAAGAACATTGGGAACCAGTTGAACCAATATTGGTGCCCAGAGTCACACAACTTTGAAACAACATGAGTGCGACAGAATTGTTATTTTTGAATGAACTATCCCTTTCAAATTGACTCACAAAAGCATCATGTTTTTCTTTATTTAGTTAACAAAATACAGAGCAATGTTTAACAGTTTAGAGAATCTGAGATAGCATGTTTTCTATTTGAATATTTTGTAAAATGTAATGTATTCCTGTGATAAAAGCTGAAAGCGCAGCATCATTACACCAGTCTTCAAAGAATTGATGAATACAAAAATAAAGCAAACTTAAAAGAATCAGTATCTTCTACAGATCTAACATTTATAGAGTAAGAAATAAAATCATTAAAAACTGTTTGTTTGTTTTTTTGTTTTTTTGTACAGATATAGTTTGTGTGCGGATCATCTGATCATGATCTCCTGAAAGTGCGTATCTATACGACGAATGTTATTTCTCGTGTCATTTACACGCCAAACATTTTTTGATACGCAGTTTTTGCGTGCATATGATATACGCACTTTATGGCGGATATGTGTCAAAACGTTTTTGTTTTGTTTTTCTGGAAAAACGAGAAAACCTATATAGCCTATATAAGATGTATTCATTCAATTTGGTTTTAGGCCTAAACGGTAAATTATCAAACGTCTTAGCAAACTTGCTGTTTTCCCCCAAGCTATACTGCAGTTTTCTCAATTGCTTTGGCACATTTGTCGAAACAGTCCTAATATTCTCTAAACTGTGAGTTTATTTGTCACAACGGTTTGCTGAACATCAGAACTCTATCGCATGTGTGCAGAACGCAGTAACACACAGTTGTCCTCACAGGTTACAGCACTGCAGTGTGTGTGACATTTAAGGGCCCTGCACACACACTATTATTAAAGATACATATAACATTATTATATTTTTATTTCTATGAATGCTGCGTTCGTCACGGTCAATGATTCACACTGATATACTGTGCAGGTTTGTTTAATTTGTACATTGATTATATATTCTACGGTAACAACAACATGTCTGTGTGTAAACAATTTCTATAAAATAAAGTGATGACAATGAGATGAAATGGAGCTATAAGGTTCAGAGTGTGTTTCCCGCACATCATTATGACGGTGAGACTCAAACACTCCTTTAAAACAAGCTTTTCCAGTAAAAAGCTTTTCCCAACAATTTCCATTTCAGATAAATACTGTTCTTTTGAACTGTCAAAGAATCCTGGAAAAAAAATGTACACACTGTTTTCAACATTGATAATAATCATAAATGCTTATTGATCAGCATATTAGAATGATCTCTAAAGCATCTGAAACATTTCGCAAATTATAACATCTTATACTCTTAAAAATAAAGCGTCATAATGTGTTTTTTTTTACTGTAATGCCAGAAAGAAGAACTATTTTTGTTCAGTCAAGAACCTTTTTTTCGAGTGAAGAAATTTTAAAAAAAAATCTAAAGCACATTTTCAACTATAAATAACTTTGTGTTAATAGAAAGGTTCGTGGATGTTAAAGTTTCTTCATCAATCATCGATGACAATAATGAACCTTTATTTTTAAGAGTGTCGCTCTCCTGTTGACAGAGATCAAGAAAACCAGATTTGTATTTAATAATGTCATTTAAGCGACGAGACCAACACGATCTCACGAAAGTGCGTAGTATATCTGGCTGCGCTTGATGTTTCATCAGGCTACAGTTTGAAATCCACCAGTCGTGACTGTACATGTCAACCGGTAAATGCAATTCCAAAGAAACATATTAAACTGAAGATAGGCTACTGGGATATTGAAAACCGGAATTCTCATAAACAGCCTTTAACTCACAGGCTTTGCAGGTTTTTTTTTTTTTTTTTTAAATACAATTTGGGACTTTATGTTTTAGGAACATTTTGTTCCAATCTTCAAGCAGATCCTTGAAAAAGTAAAAAAGATTAAAGAAAAAAGATTAATAATTTCCTAACAATATTCAACACCTCTAAAAACATTGCTCAACATATTTTATGTTTTAAATAATATTTTTAAGTTCAACACATTTCACCACAGCAAACACCGAGACAGTAAATAAATAATAACAAAATCAAGTATGACAATAATATAAATATAAATATATTATATATAAATATATAAAAATTAAAAACAAAAAATTACAGGAAAAAATTTAAACAATTGTATGCCAACCTTTAAGAGAGGGTGACATCACTAATTCAAGATATCAAAATATTTTTACTAATAGTTAACAAGTAAAACACTTTTTAATTTACATCGGACTTTAAATGACAATATTTGACTCCTTTATTATGACAGTCTCATAAACAACAGGTGTATCCATACTTGCCAACCGTGAGACCTTGAGGGGGAGGGGAGATATTCAAAAGGAACAGGGGGGGGGTTGGCTCGGCAAAAGTGCGCATCAAGGGCGCAAATCGACCACTTCGGGGCGCTCGCGAGCACCCTTCTGAGATCTAAAAATGATAAATGGGACACACTGCGGTCTCACGGACTTAACGGACATGCGCACGCGGCAGCCATTGTAAGTCCGCAAGACCGAAAGTGCTCATGAAGTGTGCGATTTGGGACTGGGCCATCGCCGCGCTTGACTTCGAGGTGTAACTTTTATTATTGTTCGGTCTGAAACGGCGCCCAGTGACGGATGGTGTAGCAATATTGTTGTCCGGGTGGAAATCGGGAGAAATTCGGGAGAAAGGTCGGTCCGGGAGATTTTCGGGAGGGGCTTTGAAATTCGGGAGTCTCCCGGAAAAATCGGGAGGGTTGGCATGTATGGGTGTATCTCATGTTGCATTTGAAGAAGAGAATGAAGGGAATTTATAAGGTGTGATCACGACGTGACAGTTTTCCGTTATGGACGCGACCGCTCTGAAGCGGCACTAAAAAACTGTTTTAAAACTTTCACAGAGACCTCAAACAGAAGACACAAAGCCTTTCTTTAAAGTGAATTTCGATTTGTAATAATTGTATCTTAATTTTAATCGATGTTTCATCAACCGATTGCCTGTAGGCTAATCAGTACATGGACGCGCCGGCGCGATATAACTTGCATTGCTCGTGAACTGGAGCCAGTCTCATAAATGAACCGAAACTCAGAAATATATAGAAAGCTTGAAATGTCTACGTTTAAACAACATCGAAAAACAATTCAAAATGAAAAGAAACAGATAACTCTCTCTTATAGCCTAATCCGTATAAAGTGCATTAGCCTACTCCATAGGCGCGTTCACAATACTGCGAAGTGGCGAGTCAGCATCGTCAACTTCATCTTTTCAGTCAAGAATGACACAGAAAACACTAGTTTATTAATAAACAATTAAAATGTCTATATTTGACACATTCGTTACTTTTGCCAGTTCTTTGTGGCAAGCTTTCTGAGTCCGCCAACTAATCGAATATCGTGACTCCCTATTTTGTACCAGGCAATTTATGGTTGTTCAATAAAGGTAAAAAAGAACAAAAGAAAAGAAGCAACTGTGCCTAATATTATTGTATAGCCTAGTATTTATTTTACTGTCTATATAGTAGCCTACAGCGCGTAAGGTGTATTTCTATGGCAGAATTACAGCGCCACATACTGGTCTGGGATGTATACTACATCGTTTTGAGTCGGTTTCCGCCGCCGTGTTTACGGACTTTTTTTTTTGAACGAGGGAAAAAAAACATCGGATAGGGTAAGCTCTGGCTTCGTGTGGATGTGGCCTTAATCTATTGTACTTTTACCTGTTTTAGTGGTTGTTGCAAGCAGGACGAGGCCGAAAGCCGTGAGAACAGGCGATGCTGGTGGCGTGATTGATAATGAGCATCAGCTGCAAACCGCACTGTGTCTCACGGAGGAGTTTATCTATTAACAACTTTAATTATAAAATAAACAAACACAAAATTAAAGTAAAAAGGGGAAGCCCTTCACAGAAAGACTGCTGCACACAAATAAACAAAACATAAAATAAATAGTCCAGGCCTGGTCCTCTCTCGTGCTTCACTGTTGTCTCTCCTCCTTCTATGGTACTGTAACTCCTGAGTGTGACTCCAGGCCGGTGGGGTGCACAGGTGACGCTCATAAACAATCATGGCAACGGCCTCGTCACGTTCTCTCATGGCCCTCGCCTAGTCCTTCTTGCCACAGTTATATTAATAGATTATGAAAAAACATTTGATTGAACATTTGATATAATTGTATCATATATTTTTTCAACTATTTTAAAATTATATACTTTGTATAAAAACACTTGTATTTAATTATTTTAAATTATATTATTTCTACGATAACAAATGTAGACATGGTTTTATGATTACATAGTGTTCTCTCACCCCGTAGCATGGCGTGCGACATGTAAAAAGACGGTATCAGTCATTGTATGCAGTCATGTGTGACGATCACAAAAGTATTGAAATTGTATTCAAAATTATTGGTTTTATTTTGAATATTGTGTTATTTTGGAAAAAGAAACATTCAGAAGGGTTTTATTCTAATGTGATTCCTTTAAAAGAAAAAGAGAGAAGTGTGCAAGGCTACTCCTGACCGTTAGGGGCAGAGTCGAGCGATGGGTGTTAAGCTGTGTGAGTCGTGAGTTTTTCATTACTTCAGAGAGCTTGAACTTGACACACTGTGTAGCTGTGTCCGAAACCGGTCACTCGTTCACTCATTCACTAATCCCTATATAGTGAATGGCAGTTGAGTGCACTATATCTGCAAGGAGTGAACGAAATGAAGTGGGTGAATTCGGACACTGACGTTTACACTGTGCGTCAGAGAGCTGGAGCTGTCGCAGAAAAGCCTTCGTCACACGTACTGATAAAACTCCTTTTTATCTTATGTTACTTACTTAAT